AATCTTTCATTACATCATCAATCGATAAGTAGTTCTCTTGTTTGGAGTAGCTGTCACATCGTGTACCACCGGTGGTACACATGGCACGTAACGTGTTAAAAACGGTACAAGATATTAATTCCTGATTGATGTTAGCGTTTCCGTGTCAGACTCATGTATGTCAGCTCTACCTGTTCATTAATTTCTCGTATTTTTGTAGTGGATCCGCCGTCGGAGAGTTACCTGCGTAAGTATTACACACGCTCGGCATCGATATAATTTGCTCGCGGCCAAATTGTTTTTGTTCGCAGATGAACTAGGAAAAACTTGGTTTTCAGTTGTGTCCACGAATATATGGACTTGTACTCGGAAATACGATCGGAGAATACCAGCAAGTTGGTGGATACACCGTTCGGTGGCCGGTTTTGTGGCCCGATACCACCTCGCAGGCGTGTGTCACTTTATCAAGGGATCGCGCTTAGTTTCTACACTGATAAAAACGTTACGTTGCCTAGCCTGTTCAGCGGTACTTTCACATTTATCAATGCGTGTACGTACGTCTGTCCTCTACTCTAAACTTCATACACTGCCTCTGCTTTCGTTGAATTCTCATGAACATATCTCGCTGACATAGATCATTATTTTGTTCGCAGCTGAATACGAGGTGGGAACACCGGCTCCTAGCACACCATGCTCTTTCACGGTAGAATCAGACAACAAACGCAACGGTAGCATACTATCTCCTACGTATCCGGGCACATATCCGAAAGGTCTTATGTGCAATTATCAATTCATCGGTAAAGCGGGCCAACGAGTCCGCCTCGAGTTCCGAGATTTCGATTTGTTTTTTGGAGGTCAACAGTATGTAACTATACGCGTTCATTAGATACGAACAGGAACAACATAATTCCCCGTTGACATTGTTGCTTTTGTTACAGTTGTCCCTTGGATTATGTGAAAGTATATGATGGCTTAAACAATACATCGGCTGTCATTGGAACGTATTGTGGTCAACAACGAAATTTGGTATTGTACTCGTCAGAATCTAGTTTGTACGTGCTGTTTGTTACGCTCCAACGTACAGCGAACACGCAGAATCGCGGATTCAAGGGTATTTTCGAATTCTCCGAGAGTTTCGTTAAATTAGGTAAGTAGAGACACCGTAATATCTATTTACTTTACATGCTATAATTATCGATCGGTTTATTAGAAAGCTTTCACTCGTGATATCTCTTTTTTTTTTTTTCAATTCTCGGCGTGTGTTTCATACATATGTGTACATATAGATGATACATGCATGATGTGTACAAAGTGAGTCGTATAAAACAAAACGTCTGGAGGGAGAAATGCATCAGACTAAAATTGGATAGTGTCGCGTATATATGAAAGTTAGATTCTGTTCCTTATTTCTCGTGTGAGAAAGATTGTACAAAATTAAAGCCAAATTGTTTATCAAATTAATGGTACTCTGACAAAAATAAGTTAATATTTTTAAAATAGATTAATTAATGCTTTAAAAAATTAATCATTTCACTCAAAACGAATACCTATAAAAAAAAAAAAAAAAAAAAAAAAACTATAGACATCAAATGAGTTTCCTGACTCTCATTTTGTATTTCATTATGTATATGTGCATGTATGTATGGTTGTTTGTATATATGTATGCTGTATTGTATGTATGTATGTACATATACATATACGTGTACGTGTGCGTGTACACGCTCGTCTCTGTCTACTCAGACTTCATAACCGCTTACAAGGGTGAGCATATACGAGGATCAGAATGCGACCAGAAGATTTTGAGTAAAAAGGAATCCAGTGGGGATGTGGTTAGTCCGAATTTTCCATACCCATATATACCGAAGGTTGTATGTCGGTATTTCATTTATGGGATGCAAGACTCTCAGCATCTCGAACGCGTGCGATTAAACTTTTCAACATTTAAAGTACCGAAAAATAAGACCACCGGAGAGTAAGTAAATAATTGCTGTCATTGTTAAAATCATTTCTGAACGTGAAAACAAATCGTTTTTTCATCGTCTAGTTCGGCATCATGCACCGATGGATATTTGAAGTTGTATCTAAAAGGGCAAGAAGCGACGGATTCTTATGACAAATTTGATCACGAGATGTGCGGTGTAGAGAGCAATCCGAGCCAAGTAGTTAGCGATGGACCGAGACTCGTGATGGTGTTTAGTAGCGGCGAGTCTCAAGGACAAGGCTTCAAGGCACGGTAATGAACGAAGACGAATTTCCAATATATTTCCAATTGAGAAAGTGACAAGAATCTCGCGATAAACAAAAAAAAAAAAAAAAAAAAAAAAAAATAAAAATATCATTCAACGCGTATGCGGTGCATTTTTGTCCTTGCAGATATTGCTTCGAAACGGAGTACAAGATACCGGGCACTGCGGCACCCGATGGCAGCTGCAACTTTACGTACATCAGTTCCTCTCGCAAAAAGGGAGATTTTAACTCTCCGCGACATCCTAGTAATTATCCAAGCGACACGAATTGCACATATTTATTCTTAGCAACACCCAACGAACAAGTTACTTTGATATTTGACTATTTTAAAGTTCGAACGAAAAATATAAATGTGACGGTCGGGCATTACGGGTAAGTTGTTTATATTATTATTTTATTATCGTCACTGCTTATCCATATGCAATTACGCGTGATCTTTTAGGATGGATGTTTGCCAAGACGATTGGTTGGAGATATACAACATATATCGAGACGACACGGAAAAATTAATAGGTAGATATTGCGGTAGTACAGCTCCGGGGCCGGTAGAATCGACTCTCGGTGCCCTTGGTTTAAAAGTGATACTGCATTCGGACTCTGAGCTGGTTTACAGCGGTTTCAAAGCGCGTTATACGTTCGAGGTGGCGAAACCTATTTTTGGAGGCACGTAATCCCAGCAATTCTACATCTTTTGGAACAGAATTGATTAAATCTATACAAATCTTTAATTAATTCTTTATGAGAGCATATATATATATATATATATATTTATAATATTGCAGATTGTGGATCGAATATAAGTAGTCTGAATTACGGAATCATTACTAGCCCCAATTTCCCAAACAAATACGATGGACCGGCAAAAAATCTAGCAAGTAAAACGTGTAATTGGTTCATAAGAGTCCGACCGAATCAACAGATATTATTAAACTTTGAACAATTTTCGGTAGAAGGTGATCAATCAGGTATATCTATGTTTCCCAATCACATACACTTTGATTTGAATTTAAGGATTTAATTCTGAATCGAAGCGTATCAATAAAAAAAAAAACAAAACTGTGTAATTGTATAATTTCTTCAGTTCGTGGCTGTCCAGCTGCGGTGCTGCGTTTGTGGTATTCCACAACGTCCACGCCCATTGAATTATGTGGTGTCAAAACACCAGAGCTTACATGGACTTACCTCTCTGAGGATAATAACATGCGACTTAGGTTCGTTGTTTGCGCATAAGGCTCCTTGTTACGTTCTGTTTCTCATGATCGTTTGGATCAAAGAACCGGAAGCATCAATTGTACCTTTTCTCTTTTTTTCTTTTAGCTTCATATCGGCTGATAAAGCAGTTGGGCAGCAAGGATTTAGAGCAACGTGGACCGAGATAAGCACAAGTACCGACTGCCAAGATCAGTTTTTATGTGGCAAAAATAAATACTGCATTGCAGAGTTGCTTCGGTGTAATAAAGTTTATAATTGTGGCCCAAGCGACACTTCGGACGAAGATAATTGTAAGTTTCGTAATCGTTAGAAAAAACACTCCAAGTCAACTTCTTAGAAACGTGTGATTCAATTCTACTCTTCTTTTATTTTGCTTCTACTATATCTATAGTTGTGTAAAAATACTATCGTGTATTACATTCTCATCCAGCGAGGATGACAGTGCGCACATTTTTTTCGCCATACGCTATACGTGTAAATGTATATATATACATATACCGTCGGTGTAGATTCTGTGTGTGCATGTGCCCAGATGCGGGTCGTGTACACACACACACACACACACACACACACACACATATACACACACACGCAGCAGAGACAGATACACACGCACATATCTCTGAATCCAGTATCAAAGTTGTGTAATTTCTTTAAATCGTTCAATAGATACTTTATTATTCTATTACTCTACAAATTCTCCAAGCGTATTCTTTTTCTACCGAATACAGTACCTTTAATTAATCCTCCTCACGTATATGTTATGCATGCATATACGCGAGTGTGTATGTATGCATGCATCTACTATGGATGTATACACATTGTAAAATGACGTGATACCTTTAATTAAAATCTAACCTGCCGTTATATACAAATAGGATATCATTCGGCAACCAATCGAATGTTGTTTCTCTGATTCTTCAGTTAATCATGCGAGAGTGGAGATAACGTACAACGATATATATCTGGCGTCGTTATTTAAATATATAAAGAGTTACGGTTTCAGGATAATCAAAATTGGTAAACTTTCTGCACGGATCTGCATGTACTTTCCGATTTATTTTGCTCGATCGGGCATCAAGTGTCGCGTGAACTATTCAGTTCTAGATTGTTTTCCAATACGAGAAAAGAAAGTGTTTGTGTTAATGTTCACCTTGCACACGCGTACAGTACACACGTTTTCCAAGATATTCGTAATATACGTATAGCAATGGGGTAGGGAACTATGTTTAACATTGAAAAAAAAAAAAAAAAAGATTAAGTAGAGAACAAATGGTAAATAGAAGTTGAAGAGAAAGACGAGTATGTACTGAATTGCGTAATATTTTTTGGGTAAGTAGTACGTAGCTGTGTGTACAGGTGAGAGAATGGAGAGGGTTGAATTGGTGAATGACTGTGTGTGGTGTCGCAGGTGCAGCATCAGCCCCATTGTCGCCAGCACTGGCTGGAGTCTCTGCCATGCTTCTTCTCTCTCTGTGCTTTGTGTTCGTGGCCATCTGAGCCCTTCATGAAGCTTCCGACGATCCGGCATGTTATGATCTCCCCTATCACGTGAGTTCACTCACAATATTGCACATGTATCGCTCTTAATTTTTATACAACAACAAGTTAATCTATACGATGATCTTTTTCAATGTCTCAATCAATTATGTTATGTGTATACAAATAGAAGCGCGGAGCAAATGAACCGGCGCACCTATCACTTTCATATTCATTCTGTACACATGTACATGTATCGTTCTTTCAAGTGTAACATAGTGTAAAGTTATTTGCACCACCGCGCGTGGTCCTTCTTTGTTGCTTCACTTATTTTGTTAAAGGAAAAAATTCTCACATTTGACTATTAACGTGTAAAGAATCAGGCATCGCCAAGAACATCGCTGTTCTCTCAAGTACGTGAGCTTCAAGCAATCGTGTCTGAAATTTGCCTTTACTGTTGTTTCAAAAGTTTTTTGTCTTTCACAATTTACACAAAGTTGACAGAGAAACGCATGACTACAGTGAATGCAAATTTGTTTATATAAGATAGCATGTTGAATTTCCTCTCTCTTTCTCACACACATACACGCGTGCCGCGTTTTTCCTTGCCTCTTTTCACAGATATCCCTAATCACACTCTTCCGTTTCGTTCTGTTTCTTCTTTTCTTTTCCTTCCCATTCTCCTCTTCCCCTTCGTCACGCGTTTTTCCCCCTTACCTTTCGTTTCTTTTTCTTTGCTCTTTGATGAAATCATCTTTCCCAACTTTCTCCCTACCAACCACGATTATTCGAAATCACGCGCACATTATCTTCGACTATCTTTTTGACATGTTTTACTTTCTCCGCTGCCATCTTTTTTCGTAGGTTTTCATTTGAGAAATGCGACGAGTGTAAAAAGCAAAAGAACCGAATCAATTGGATCGAATCAGTCGTAAATAGATTTGACTAAACAACCAGTGAATTATAATTACGTATGCTTTGCATTCTATGAACAAGGACTTACGATTAAGAAAAAAAAAGAAAAGAAAATAACGAATATTAGAGACAATTTGGAAGATTTTCAAATCGAACGATCGTCTGACAAGGAATTATTATATTTCAGGTGATATAGTTATAGAGACGAATAATTACGCTATCCCCGCGGGTTATGTCATCGGTGCTGTATTGATAGCATTGATCGTTTGTCTTTTGTGCCATCGAAAGCTAAAGAGACGAGTCCAAACTGTGCATCTTAACGATCTGCGTCATCGTATTGACGAGAGGCATCGATGTTATCACAATGAAAATCTCCTTCAACACCATCACCACTTCCATAATCATCAGCACCAGCATCAATATCAACAGCAGCAACAGCAACAGCAACATTATCAAGACTTGACTAATGATTCAAGATATCACTTAGAATCATCGACTAGCCCAGCGAGCGAGAGCGATGCCGAGGAAGCTAGCAGCCTCAACAGTGTGTGACACATCGTGCCATCCGACTTGAACAACCTGTTTGCTATCTTATTCCATTTGCGTTGTAGTTAGATATATCCGTAGTTAATTTTTACCTCGTTTCTACCTCATTTAACGTAACTTACCTCTTCGAGTAATCGGTTAACCACACCGTTTTTCATTAGAATGATAACTGACGTGCGAAAAGAGAACTTCAAACAAGCTTACACTTATTCCAATCGAGAGTAACAAAAATCGTGCACGCATTCTTTTTTTTTTTTTTTTTTAGATCGAGGAAGAAAGGTACGTCATTCACGATTGCGATGCACGATTTATTTTCTTGTAGATGTATAAATACCTGAGCGTGTTTTTAACACACACACACAATTGTAGATTATAATACGTATATAAGATCGTATAAGGAAAAAAAAAAAAGAAAAAAGAAAAACTGGAAAGATAGATAGATCAAAAGAATTGAACAAAGTCGAGCTATAGTTTCGTGCATTGGCAATAATTTGATTGGAAAGATAAATTATTCCGTTTCACCGAAGATGAGAAAGTTAAAAAAATTAAAGAGAAAAAGAAGTTAAGGCTAGTCTGCTTATTGCTAACGATATTTCTGGAGCTTCCGATCCTCTCCAAAAGAATAATATATTTTTACCTCGAGTTAACTAGATTTATCGTTATTGTTACGTCGTCATCGTGTGGCCATTGACATTTCTTTCCTTATATTTGTTTGCATGAATTCGTGACAAAGCAAGAATGATCGAAGAAACGAAACTAACGTGCAAAGTCACGTCATTTACATGTCTCTATTTGAAATGTCAGATTATGTAGAATTATATTACCACACGCATTCCTTCTCTTGTATGATACATTTATGTAGCATGTACTAGTTGTAACACAACACACGCATAAATATTTTGTACATGCGAAAACGCGATCCCTTTACAATTAGCACGCAATTTATTTGTAAATGTTGTATCCTTTAAGCGTGAACGACTATTCAGCTTGAAGATCTGTAGCTTGAAATGGTCAATCGCAGATATACTTAATTGGGTCTTTCCGCGTTTTGTACCATTGCGATAAAATGTTCCAATTCTTCCATTTGTAATAATCGGGCAAGGCTATTGTTCAACGGTTCAAACCTGTCGCTAGATTTCTATTTGTGTTTTAAAAATTTTACAATTAACTTTCCCAATTCAGAAAGAACAATTCGACTCACGCGTATGGATGATTCCATGTATCGCACGAAGCAGAACTATTAAGAAATACGTCACGTATGAAATTTATAAACGCTGCCATTTATTATAATAGTTATATTATACGATTTTATACAAATGAAAATCGAACGTAATAACGAGTAATCGTGTTTAATGAAATACCGAGCGAAATGATCATGAGCAGCAGATTGCACTGACAGCAAAATTTCACGCGTGTTGAATTTTTTTCCTTTAATCGTCGTTCAAACATATGATTCTTGTAACAGAGCAAAGATTTCAATTTGTGTCCAATCGAAAATGTGAAAGAAAAAAGGAAAACGTTTATGCTTAAGTACGCAGAGAATGATGGTATGTAAAACAAGTTCGTAGCAACAGAAGAGCGTAACAAATTTGATAGACGTGAAATAATATTGCATCTCTAATAGAAACAGGTCACACGGAATAAGAGAAAGTACGCGAAATAATAAACGATGTAACTGATCTGTATGTGATGTACACTGTATTTGTAGCACCGATTTTGACTTGATCTCCTCTTTTGATAGGATTTCACTGAACGGTACAAGAATCCTCTCGTTTCTTTTTCTTTTTTTTTTTTACATTCTTTTATTTTATCGAAAAACATTCGATCTTAAAAATACATACAAAAGACTACAAATCGTTACATTTAAAATTGAATGCGTTCAAGTGCGACATATTCATATATTCATTTCCCATAAGTTAGAGCCGCATGCAAGATTTTGTTAATACTCGAAACTCTACGTGTGTACAACACATATGTAATCACACATTGTGAGTCACAAAGTTTCTAATTTGCGAGTTTTGCGAGATGTGTATCGTAAACAGAATATCGTGTTCAGAAGTAACACACTTTGTGAGTACGATGCACGCTATTTGATGTTATCTGGAGGGAAAGGGGACAACAAGGGAACAGACAAGAAATAACCGTACAAATAAATGTTTGTTTCTGTACGTTAAAAACCGATGGAACGATGCTCTTTCCCTCTCATTTTGTTTCTTCCTTGGTCTTCGTTTCGGTTCATACTTTTAGATTATCCAGTCAAACAAAAAGTAAAAGATACAAGCCCGTTTCCAAGCGTCTAACGTTTGCTGCAAAGTTCATCGATTAAACAATTAACTGTACGGTTATTGAAAAGAATAACACGTTCTACGAACGTGAACGAAGAGAGTAGGAGAAGAATATTCAACTAAACTTGCACATACTGTTCGTCGTCAGTATCTCCATTAATCGGCCTAGCAGAATGATTTTGATGTATCTGTTCGTAATCAGCATTGAACAATATATGTTTTTTCACTTTCTCATATCCGTTTGGATCTTGTTCCGGTTTATATGTGTTCACTTGTTCGTACGGCGGTTCTTCGGCACGCGTAACACTCATATATTTCACACTCTCGTAGTTCGGATCTCCGTGATTAACAGACTCGTAATTGGGATCCGTATCGCTATCACCAGGTCTGCAAACTGACGCGTAATTCGGTTCTCCCGCGTCATGCGGCATACTTTCATAATTTGGTTCTGAGTCTGTGTCTGGGTCTATCTCAGATCTGTTTCTTAATCTCACTTTCTCGTAGCCTGGATCTTCGCTGCTGGCGTTGCTAATTTGTCGATGTTTAAATGGTACGGAATAAGAAGAGGAAGCAGATGACGAAGTTGTTGACGAAAATGTTGATGGAGAAGAGGTAGAAACAGAAGAAGAAGAAGTGATCAGTAAATTGACGTTATTCCGTAGAGAAATTGATATGGAACTGCTAGTTTGCTGATGATCCCCTGCAGTATCCATAGTGAGACGTTGTTGCGGGCATAACACTTCGTAGTTCGAATCGCAAGTCGTTGAATGTTTTTTAGGTATATCATTATTTATACCTTCATATCCATGACCGAGCGCGAAGCTCGACGAGTCAAGACCGTCGCCAGTTCTAGACGATGTAAGAGAAGATGATTTCATCAGAACGTCGGCTTCTAAGTGAAAATTATTCACATCAGAATCGGGCTCTTTTCTCTGAATTTCCATAGAGTCATGACTAGATGATGCAATTTTATTTTCAATAAGACTTGACTTGCGAACAGCACCAATGACAAATGCATCGGAGTGCAGGCTTCCTTGAGAATTTAAATGCACATCGTTTTGCTGCTCCTCCACGTCTTTCTTCTTCTTCATTACTTTTGCGTACATATCCTCCAAAGATTTTCCACTGGATAAAGCCGGTTTCAGCCGGTCGTCGTTCTTCGGCTTCTTTTCAATTGACGCGTATACTTCTGACGTCCCTTCAGGCGGAGGCGGTAACGGTGAATTAGCTTGACGTTTCTCGGGCTTTGGTGA